TGAGTTGACCCCAGCACAATAGTACAGTTGGAAAGATTAGGTAAACTGAAAAATTCACCTCATCGGGACTCAAATCCGTGACCTTCTGGCTTGTAGCATAGTGCCTCAATGAATTACATTACCACATGCCACCCTACTTTATATGAAGATCTTTAAAAATGAAGTTCTACTGCATTTATTATGGATGAATGAAATAACCATTACATTCAAAAACTGGACACATTAAAGAACAAAATTACTCTGCACACTCTGTACACATTTTCTGAGGATATTATAAAAGTATTTACTAATTTTTCCTCCTTTGGAGCAGCTTTCTTCCGACCATCATCCTCTGTTATGTCATCACATGACATAGCATCACTTTCAGAATCATCTGAGCTGCTATGATCTCCTTCTTCCTCACTGGAGTAATCTGTAAACAATTCACAATACTTCTTTAAAATTACATCAAGACACTTACAGTATATGTTCAATAATATTACATACAAACTTAGCACAAATATGCAACCTTAAAATATCCACCTCATCACTTAAAAGCAAAAGTGTAGAACAACTGAACACTCAATTGATCAATGTCTCACTGTAAATCTCCATCAGACTTTGATCTGTGACTACAAGCTTCCAAATCTCTTTTAATATGTTGGTATATCTGTTACTCCTAAAATCTTTACTTGCTATAACTACTTGTATTATCAAAGAGATGCAATCTACCGTGTCTCATTAAAACACATATCAGATAATATTACTCTCTTATTAATCCTTGTGGTCCATGATTCAATGCCAAATTAAGTCATTCTAAGAAATACTTTACAAATTTTAACTCTTACGTGTTTTAAAACTAATGCTTTGAAATTTGGTTTATGTAAAATACCAAGGATTTTTACATAAATAACCAACTGTTTTTACTTCAAATATTTTATCCTTCATTAGTTAGAATATATTCTAGATAACTGAAAGTATTAACATTTTCCAATACTTCATTGTTAATACAGATGTTACTTCTGATTGGTTCTCCTTTTAAATGTTGTAAATTTAAGCAGTGACATATCATGCTTGGGATTCTAGGGCAGATATAATTATTTTCCTGAAGATACCACCTATGTAGTTTTTTGGGCAGATGATTTGCACAAACTATTAATTATTAATCATTTCGGACTAAAATGTTACCAACAAACCCCCATGCCAAAATTACACAATATATAAAAGTAAGACAAAGCAAATTAAGATGAAAATGTCAATTTCCTAGAAGGGTTTTGCATAGCACAGACCTTTAAAATTATATCAACCTTATATTTGCTGTCAGTCAATACAGTGCAAAGGGATACAAGAGTAAATGCATTTTTGGTTTACATTTTTGTTGAAACTACCAACATTCCCTGTGCACAGTTGTTGAAAAATATGTACCACATCTGTCTGGTTTCATGGGCATGCTAATATCAACTGGCAATTACCATTATAATCCTCTTCCATACATTCAGCACCCTCTTGCAAAACATCTGATATCAGTAATGCCGTTAAACCATTTTCCAGACAAACTACTCTGAAATCATAAAATCAAGAATAATGATCACAGTATCATTCATTGACAGTAAGCAGCTGACCTACAGTTTCTTGTGAACTTCCACAGTCCCTTGTAAATTCCAAGGCATTGCCATTATCAGATTTCAAATCCTTCCCAACATATTATTCACAATAATACTCTGATATTACTGAATGTATATAAAATATTAAAACTGCAATATCATGAAATAACTGAAACCATATTTACTGTTTATTAGTTTTGTCTTGATCTGAGTTTATCAAACCACAAGACTGAGTAGCTGGTTTCTTTCCTGGAAGATTATGTATGTACATATGTACATGTGTGTGTGTGTGTGTG